GACGAGCCCCACCCTAAGGCAACCCCAGTAGGCACGAATCAACTTCCCTGCTGGGCACCTAACTCGGGTACTAGCGTGCAGAGATTCTTGGGAAAACTGGGAAGGTACTCAAATCATTTTTTGGGGGGGTATAGGGCTTCTTCCTTCACAAACCCCAACTGAGAGAAAGACACAACTCAATGATCTGCAAAGCTGAAGAATTTGACATTTAGAGGAATCATAATATGAAAGGGGCATCTTATATCCCTCAGCTCTGTTATTTATCTACACAATGTTGCCTATTTTTAAACACCAATGAGAAGCACGCACTGTTTTGTTAACCTGTTTAAATGTTAAAGGTAGCTGCTCATAAGCTATAAAGTTCACATGCTACCCGATCCTACCCTTTGCTGTTCCAGAGCACTGACTAATAAGCCTCTTATTACCTTCTTAATCAAGGCACATTTCAACACTGTCAGAGGAGCAGACACTGGCTCAAACCGCTGCCCCTGAGGGGCAGACATTTCCGCTGGGTTTGATTTACACACAGCTGAAATGCAGCCTCAGTTAAGACCCTCATAAGGGGGGGTGGGGGGGAGGCCTAAGGCTCTCTCCTCACCAGAAGATCTTTGCGTGTTTGAATTTTCTGTGCAATAATGAACAATTTCCTCTCGCGTTCAATCCGCTGTGTCAGGAAGTTATACTGCTTTTGCCTTTCTTTAGCCATCCGCTGCAGAGGAAACACACACATGTTCAATAAAACACTTAGCAGGACAAAAAATAAATAAGAAACTGTTTCTTAATCCACGTAAGCCCCAATGTGTAAATGGTTTTACCAACTCTCTTCTTACACCAGAATAAATGCCACTGCGTGTTACTAACGAGTAAGGGTACTATGAAGTTGTCCATTTTAGGAACATCACATCTTTTTTATAAATATATTTTATTGATTTTTTTTACAAGAGGAAGGGAGAGGCATAGAGAGTTAGAAACATCGATGAGAGAGAAACATCAATCAGCTGCCTCCTGCACACACCCTACTGAGTATGTGCCTGCAACCAAGGTACATGCCCTTGACCGGAATCGAACCTGGGACCCTTCAGTCCGAAGGCCAAACCCATTAGGGCGGAACATCACATCCTGAGCTGAACTTCCATAACCTTGGAGACTTGCCCAGGACACGTGGCTCACCTGGAGCAGTCAGGACTGTCCCAGTCACGGTCCTCAGGAATCTCTCCACTACTACACAGCTGCTTCAACCTTCATGTGAGTGTCCGGTTACTAAGGTGATGCAGAATGAGCCAGAACTGGAAAGTCTCACACAGTGAGCAGGGAAAGAGAAGGGCACCAGGCAGTGTACTGGTGCCGGAGAACCGCAGCTCGGAGAGCAGGCGTTTGTCAGCGGAGGCAGACCTGAGAATTCCCACTGCGGCTGATGCCTCCAACACCAGCATTCTTCAGTCTGGGGGAACTGTAAACCTCTAAGAAACTGAGGGCAGCTTTGGGCTATTTCTTGAAATAAATGTGTGTACAAATTTGTAGGGCTCTTCTCTCATGGAACCTCCGTTGAGAAAGGTAGAACTTTTAATTTTTCTTAAATTTTTTAAAATGTTTTTACTTATTTCAGAGAGAGAGAAGGAAGAGAAACATCAATGTGAGAAAGAAACACTGATCAGCTGCCTCCTGCACGACCCCCAGTGGGGATCAAGCCCACAACCCAGGAATGGGCCCTGACTGGGGACGGAGCCGGCAGCCTTCTGCTGCATAGGATGACACTCAACCAACGGAGCCACAGCAGGCAGGATAAGAAAGGCAGAACGAAATGACCTAAATGTGTATACACGTAGATACCTATTTGCTCAAAATGTCAGTGGGAAGAGGGTGTTCAGACTGCACTGCCCACCCCTTCCAATTTAGAATGAGCGTCCCTTTGCAATCCACTCACAGCAGTCTCTTAATAAAAATAATTTTCCTTCAAACACAACCATCAAAAGAAACACGGCTACACAAAAATGGTGAGATCCAAACCTTCCCAATTTCTCAAAAGTTATGCTAGTGAACTCTTCTACACAGGAATGTGGAACTCTCGTCTCCTTAGGGACTCCACAATACTGGAAAAGCATCAGTGACACAGCTAATTGAAAATACAACTAATTGGCAAACAGGGTCATTGCGAGAACACTAGTCAGACGGCTCCTCAGCTGGAAGTGTTATCTGCATGGAGGGGAATATTGCTGGGCCTCAGACTTAAACAATTGCCTGATTCTAGCGTAGTCTCACAGCAGTGGCTTCAGACAGCTTTTGTTTTCACTTTATTGCACCGACTGTCAAATTTATGGGATTACCCAATATAGTCAAACTAATTAGGGGTATTTATATTACTAAGGCAAGATTAGCTGCCTCTGAGCTAGAGAAACTGCTGTGAAATTAAACATTGGAAGCAAAGCTGATGCAGAATAAATGATTCAAATCAAAACAGAACAGCTGTCTGACTGAAACACATTGACAGCATTTTTTTTCTTTTTCTAAATGAATCAGTCAGAAGTGAGAGTTCAACTCCAGAAGGCTTTGAGAAAAGCATGTCTTCTGCGCAAACCCAGTTACGGTGATGGAAAGCACCATAAGGAAGAATCAATACAAAATTTTGGTACAAATGCATAATATGGAAGACTTTTTGATACATGTAATTCGCTGCTAAAGGTTCAATATCAGACCCCTTCATCTTCAATGCCCTCTCCTTTCTCTGCATTTTAAAACTGTTGGAACCTGTTACAAGCCTTAAAAGCACAAAGCCCAGAGTCAGAGCTAGAATTCAAATGAAGGTCAAAAGGCCAACACCTATGCTCCTGACCACTAGGCTACCCATCCTCCATTCTGAGAAACCTAGGAACTCTCCTCCACTCCCATCCCCATCATCAAACCCTCCTTCCACTTCTCTAAGGGAACTTGATGTGTTTTCCACAAATAATTATTTTAAATTTGGTGACAAAAAAAAAGGGAATCTAGATTCCCCCTAATTCAAACCCAAAGAAAAATGGAGTAAATTACCTTAAGTCGAGTCTGATGAGTAATTCCTTTCACTTTCTCCTTCTGCAAGGTCTCGATGGTGGGTCTATTAAAGACTCTGTCCACTAACTCCGGAGCAGTTCGCAGGTGAGTTGCAATATCAAACTGTTCAACTAAAAGTCAAGATAATCCTTAAAACACTGTCTCTAACACCAAACAACACAGAAAAAAATGCTAGACTGTCCCAGGAACCTTCAAACATTTCATACCTTCCTTTTTAGTGTCGAAAAAGAACACATGCTTATTCTGTTGCTTCCCCTGGAAATCCAGCAGATGGAGCTCTGATTTCAGTCTTTCAATTTTCTAGAATACAGAATATGGTCTCATTTTACATTGGGCTCTTACAGGGTATCAGAAAGGAATTTGCAAAAGTTTAAACCATTTCACATCATTATCACCAACCAGCAAAAATAAAAAAGAAAAAAGAAAAATAAAAAAAAACTGCTTCATTCTTTTAAAGGAAAGGACCACTAAAATTTATCAAGCACCAACCACATGTCAGGCTTGGCATAATCCAAAACTCACTTAATCCTTACAACAAACCTATGAGATAGAAATGAGGAAAGAGCTTCATAGAGGTAAATTTGTCCATAATCTTGGGGCCAAGTAGTAGAGCCAGAATTCAAACTGAGTCTATCTCATTCCCTACATTAAGCCCTTTCCACTCTACCATGCTTCTAAATCACTTTCACAATTAATTAAGCATACTTCGAGATTGTAAATGCCAGAAACAATCAACATAACATTTTGGTTGAGGGATTTCTATTTTTCTTAACCAACAAAAACACATCGGAACAAAGGATTTTCGGTTGTTACCTTAGCTTCCGCAACCCTTTTCATTTCTATATACTTGACATCCTGAGTTCTCATCAGTTTCAGCTGTTCTGGAGTTACTTCCTCTTTAGTCTCCGGGATAACATGAACGCCATCCTAAAATCCAAATTTCAAAGACACAGTCCCCATTAGATTAAAATCATTTCTAAGTTGCTGACATAGTTCATGGTTGGAACAAAGACAACCTAAAGCTTTACGCAACAGCAATTCCATGCACCAGGCCCTCGAGGTGCCCGGTGAGTTTAGCACATCCAGTCATCCGCTCTTCTAACGGCTCCAGGCAGAAGAGAACTCAGAACCAGGGGCAGAAATGCTTGCTGCTCATGAAGGGGCAGTTTTGCCCTGGATACTGGCCAACAACAGCACCTGGACAACTAACAGAGGCTAAAGGCCAAGATTCCTTCTCTCCACCTCCTCCTCCAACCTTACTTCCTTATTGAGTCGGAGCTCAGAACACTAACTGATCCATTAGTCACCCACCTGGAGTTTAACTCGAGTCATTTTATAGTAGAATTCATCTGGATTTTTCTCCAGAGCTTTCTTTCGAAGAGCTCTGAGGTATTCTTGCTTTTTCCGATAGTCACTGAAAAGGAGGTTAAACAAGGTTCATACCAAAAAAGAAAAGAAAAAAAAAACAATAACACAAGCAAACTTTACAAGCAGCTAACGTTCACACAAAATGAAACTCAAAAAACCAAAGAAAAAGAAAACAAGGCCAAAGCAATGACTACATTTGATCCACACGCCACTGTCACTGATGTTGAGCTCCTGTCTCTGCAGGTCCTCTCCTGTCCGATCTTACCTAAAATGAACTGTCCTACCTCACGTATGTTTTTAGTGCCATTTATATCATTACAAGGAGAGACCAAACAAAGCACAAATTAAAACTGGGTTCTGGCCGAAACCGGTTTGGCTCAGTGGTAGAGCGTCGGTCTGCGGACTGAAGGGTCCCTGGTTCGATTCCGGTCAAGGGCATGTATCTTGGTTGCGGGCATATCCCCGGTAGGGAGTGTGCAAGAGGCAGCTGGTGGATGTTTCTCTCTCATCGACATTTCTAGCTCTCTATCTCTCTCTCTTCCTCTCTGTAAAAAATCAATAAAATATATATTTTTTTTTTAAATAAATAAAACTGGGTTCTGATTCAAGCTTTGGGCACCAAGTGACCAAAATAAGATGCGGAAATTACACAATGCATTAGAGTAGGGGTGTCGAACTCAATCAGAGAAGGGGCCAAAATCTAAAATCCAGCCTAAATCGCGGGCCGAATGGTTTACTGAACAGTCATAAACTGTCATTGTGATGGAAACGCAGCGGAGTGCAGTGATGACAGCGCGGTGCGGGCCACATTGCAAGGCCTGGCGGGATGGATTTGGCCCGCGGGCCTTGTGTTTGACACATGTGCATTAGAGCAAAGTAACCAGAATCATGGATTCTGGAGCCAGACACCCCGGGTTCAAACTGTGACTCCATCACTTCTGGCTGAGTAATCTTGGGTAAGTTAGTTAACCACTCAGTGTCCCCACTGAATCTGTAAATGATACGCTAACAGTAATATCCCAGAAGGCTGTTGGGAGGAATGAGTGTCAAAGTCGTAACTCCCCTGGAGCACTGCCTGCCCGGTAGCAGCCCTCAGTTATTATTATTGGCCTTAAACACTCGGAGACCCAGAGCAACCCATCACCCTCTGTCTGTGCCAGGAGCATAAAAAAGACTTCAGCGAACAAGTAATCATAAAGTATTCTGCAAGTAAAGTGCAAACGAAGAAGAAGAATGGGGATAATTGTTTTGTAAAACGTTTTCAGAGTTCATTATCACCCACGCTCAGGCTCATGACCCCATCTTTCACACCTCTTCATCCCGCACCACACACACGGTGATGTAAGAGGCTCGGCAACTGGAATTTTAGATTTTATCTTGCACTTCAAGAAAAGGGAATGAGAAAAGACTCAGCTTTTGGCTCAAACACCAAGGCAAGGGCAAATCAAAGCCACTATGAGAAAATGATCTGGAGCAACACAATAAAAAATTTAAAAAAAAAAAACTCACAATGCCACTACAGTTAAATAAATAACGCTCTGCTAAACAAAGACAGAAGTTTAGGGTCACAGACAAGTCTCTGACAGGCTGCCAGAGCTTGGGCCACTTTATCAATGGCAGGAAATTATCCCGTTGGACACTCAGGCAATTCAACTGCAGCCCAGGGAGGCTGGAAGCTTTCTTGGCAGCACCTCTGCCAGAAAGACGGAACTCACTTTGCACGGAGTTTGTAATCTTTCTTTTTCTCCAGCAGGCCCAGATGTTTTCGGAATCCAGGCTAGGAAACAAAAGAAGAAAAAGGGTTACGTTTCCTCACAACATGATGGGAACCAGCATCTCTGGGGTGCCCAGTCAATCCATGTCCTTGGAGCCAACCTGCTACCCTCTTCCCTCCCCTCCCCCGACTGGGCTCTGCCTCAGGATGAGGGGAGCTGTGCAGGCGCCAGAGAGGTCACAAGCACCGCCGTAGTAGGCGTCCTGGCCTATTAAGGACAGAGCAAGGCAACAATGACTCGGCACTAAGCAAGCAGTTGCCAGTTGTACTAAAATTACTACAGACTTAATCCAAGGGCTTAAAAAATACTATGAAGGGAAAATATAGTAACAGGCAACTGTGGTAGGAGAGCTAAATTTAGAGACTGGAGAATTGGATTCAAATCCAAGCTTTACCTCTTAACAATCTGTGACCTTGGGCAAATCACTTAACTTCTCTGAGCTGCTGTTTCCCAACTATAAAATGAAAATAACAGTATCTATTTCTCGTGGTTATCATAAGAATTCCATAAGCCTCTGGAAGTGGTGGTGTCAGCACATGGCTTGGCACATGACAGGTGCCCAGCACATGTTTACTGTTATTATTATACCTTCGATACAAAGTATGAGGGAAAACCAAGCATGACAGAATATACTTCCTGTGACACAGAACTTGGACAGCACAAAAGGTACAAGGATTATATCTTCCCATTATCTTTCTACAAGCTACCATTTGTTGAGCATTTAATATAATCAGGGTCTCAACTAGATGCTTCTGCATAGAGTATTCTAACCGGCCACACTTATTAGGTACTTACTCTGTTACAGAGCAATCTGCTATGCTCAGCAAGTATGAGCACATTTAATCCCCACAATTATCGTGGAAAATAGGTAAAACAAAGAAATGGCTATTCCAGTATTCCAAAGGGGAGGAAGGTTTAGAGAATAATTTGCAGAAGAACAGAACTAGTAAGTGGCAAAGCTAGAATTAGAATCCATCCTTTCTGGGCCACAGTCTGTACTCTTCCTCTCCCCACTGGACTGCATCCTTTTCTGCTCTAAACAATCTTAACTCTTTTTTTTTTTTTAAAGAGAATTTTTATGAGCTTATTTGAGCTAAACTGATGACATATACAAGGAAGCAAGACATCAAATGCTCCCTTATCTCAACTTTTGAGGAACCGCATATACTTCTCCAATGTTTAAACTGTATATTAATTTTTAGTAGTCACCTTTCTCACCTATTATCTTTGAAGTGATACAATAAAAAATTCAATATTTAAAAATAATACCCAAAACCTCTCTGAATAATTTTCATTTTACTGACAGCATATAAAGAAGACTGACAGAGTCAAAACCGGTTTGGCTCAGTGGATAGAGCATCAGCTGGTTCGATTCCAGTCAAGGGCATGTAACTTGGTTGCAGGCACATCCCCGGGAGAGGGTGTGCAGGAGGCAGCTGATCGATGTTTCTCTCTCATTGATGTTTCTAACTCTCTATCTCTCTCCCTTCTCTCTGTAAAAAATCAATAAAGTATATTTTTTAAAAATAAATAAATAAGAAGACTGACAGAGAGTAGAGAAAGAAAACTCAAGGGTCAAATGGGCAACATCATGAGGCAGAAATCTTGAAAGCTCCATGTCACTTGAATGTATATCGGCATTATAGAAAAAATTCTGGCACTGCATTTGAGATAGTTCAGATAATTACACCCCCCCATCCATACAGAATATCTTCAATAGCTCCCCACTGCCTCCATGAAGAATCAATAGGATAAAGTCCAAACTTGACCCAAATAGGAACTGCTCTTGTCAATGTGTTTACCAACCTTGACAGCTGGCCTTCTCCACACCTCTCCCACAAAGACTCTCTACTCCTATTCAGACATGGCCTTGTCTTATTCATCATCTGCCTTGAAAGCCCTGTCTCCTCTGCTAATCTAAACCAACTACTTACAACTATGACTCTAGACACACTACTCAATCTCTCTAAGCATCAGATTACTCATTCGTAAAATGAGGACCACATCCCCCGAATAGGGACGCTGTAGGATTATCAGATAATCCTTGTACAGCATGTTGGGCTGTACCTAACATACAGTCAGTGCTAAAGAAGTGACAGCTACTATCATTGCCTTTCAAGTCCAACAAGTTTCATCGTGATGCTTTCTCTCATCATCTCTACTCTTCCCACTCAAATTCCTCAACTGGCATTTTTTATGTCCACCTCTTATAAAACTGCCTCTTTCTTCAACTTTTAGTAGCCTCTGGATTCAAAACACTTGGTCTGATTACTTTGCCACTTGCCAACTGCAGCTGTATGTCTTTGGGCAAATTACTTACTCTCTAACCTTAGTATCTTCAGCTGCAAATGTGAAAACACAATAGAACCACTTCCACACACTGCTGGGAGTTACGTAAACGAGGTAATGAGAGGACAGCATTTTGCACTTTGTCTGGCTCCGGCACACAGTAAGCACTTCTAGCTATTATTACTTTTAGCTAGATCTACACACAGGCCCAAACAAGGTGGCAAATTACACTATTGCTCCCAGCATACCACGGAGCACACACCAAGTAAACAATAAATGTCTGAGAAATGCGATTAAGCGGGAAGACTGAACTGTGGTTAAGCGCTCTTAGTTCCATTCCATCAGCTGGCCTCATAACTTTAGGCACGTCCATCTCCCTCTTTTCTCATCTGTAAAATGAAGCTAGCCCAGATATCTCTAAGGGCCTTTCTGACTTGGATTATGGGATTCCCACAATTGGTCCTGCAGGCGTAAAAGTGGAATAAATTAATTCTGCAAACATTCATCGATTTTCTACTCAACCTACCCCACAACACACACACCCTCCAGAGAAGTCCTACAAATGTTTATTCAGCCTGAATTTGGTGTTTGTGACTGGGCACATCACTTTATTAATTTTCCCCCCCGCTGACACCGGACAGTTTATTGTGAAAAGCAATATGGTGTGGGAGGGGAGAGGCTGGGGTGGACAGGACCAGAGCCCATCTGGGGGATTTAGCTGGACATCAGGCATTTCTCCACGTAGGTTTAGAGGCAACACCTTCATGGATAAATCCCCCAGAGGGCTCGGCGGGTGAGTAGAGGCGCCTTAGGCCTCGGGCTCGATGTCAATGGTGGGAAAGCAGCGGTTGTACCTGCACAAAGGCATGCCGTCCGGGCCCACAAGGAACTTCTCCAAGTTCCAGGCCAAGTTGTAGCGGCACGTGGGAGATCAGGTGATGAACTTGGGGTTGTCACTGGGTGTGGGCAGAGCCTCGCGCAGGCAAAGAGGGGTACACCTGCACTGCGTTCACCTCGCACTTCTCGAAGAGTGTGAAGTTGGGTTCGAACCTGCCATCAGGCCTGACATACTTGAGGAAATTCAGGATCTCTTCATTCGAGGCCAGAGGTCTTCAAACTTCTCTCATTATGAGAATCACCTGGTGGAGGTGTTAAAACACATTCCTGATAGCACTTCTTATAGTTGGGATCCAGGAATCTGTGTTTTAACAACTCCACCAGGTGATTCTCATGAGAGAAGTTTGAAGACCCCTGTTCTAGGCGTTCTCCTGATGCAGGAACTGGTAGCATGGGAAGCCCAGCACGACCAAGCCCCGCGGCCCGAGGCACCTGCAGCTCATCTGGGTGAGGCCATGGCTCTCAATGAGCAGCACCTTGCCCCGCAGGGAGCCCAGGCTCGCCAGCTCCGCGCCCGCCCGTATGCACGGAGTGCGGGGCCGTCCCCAGCAGAGCGGCGCACAAGGCTTGGGGATTGCAGAATAGGAAGCGCTGGGGACAGGAACCTGGGCATGTCAGTTTAGCTTTCAGGGCCTCAGTTTCCTCATTTGTATAATGGGAGTGGGAAACACCAACATTACAGGGTGAGACATAAACAAAAAGCCCACGGTGATGACACTACATTCATAACTTTGGTCGGTTATCTTCGGTCAGAGCCCCTCTACGCAGGGAGCAGAGCTGAGCACCTTTCGATTAGGGTGCCAGTTCCTGCCGGGCACTTACAGGCTGTGTGAGCTTTGACTTCAAGTTCCGCAGAGGTCAAGCCCTTTGCACACACAGTAAGTACCTCGATTAATTATCTCATTTAAAACTTGCAAGATAGCTTTGATTATCCCAGTGCTCTCCTCAAAAAAGAACGTCAGGCCCCGTCCAGCGAAGCCAAGAGGCCCCGCCCCAGCCACGCCGGCGTCATTACCATGTATTTGCATTTATTTACACGCAGTGTCTGCGTACGGACCCGACCCCGCGAGCAAAGAGGGGGTTGGGGCGGGAGAAGCACATGGGACCAGAGCCGGCGCTCGTGGGTCCTGTGCGGTCTTACCTGGCTTCGCTCTCGGTGCTCCCGCTGTCGGGACTTAGCTGCTTTCCGAAAAGCCGCCGACATTCTGCTCACGCCTGGGAAAGCTCAGTAGGCAACGCCGGCACCGCACCACCTCCGTCTCCGGGTCCACTGAACCGACAGGAAACGGGCCTACCCGAGGCGGTTTAGGACCGCCCACTCCCTCTCCACAGCCTATGCGGCGCCTACTTTTCCGGAAGTACGTCCTTTAGCAAAGGCGTCCACCACAGGCTGCTTCTGGGAAATGTAGTCTAGTCTCGTGACGTGACCAGAGGCAGTTCCTATTCGCCAGAGCATGTCCACGTGTACCTCGCCTTCGCGCTCGGCTCCGCGTTGGCACCTGGGAACACGTGTCTGGCACTGCCCTTGGCCGAGCAGGGCCTGGAGTTTGCGCATGCGCAGTCACCTGCGGCTGTATCACCCGGTGCATTTAAAGCCAGGAGCTG